GGTCACCTTATTATAAGAATTTATCGTGACCTTTCTTTCTAGATTAAACAGAGGTTTGTGTATCCAATTAAATAAAACAGACCACTCTTTCTGTGTACATTGTTAATTACTCTCTGCGGGATTCCCAGTCTTCAATGAGATTCTGAAATGAGAATCGTGAATTATTTAAAGCAAACAAGTGGCGCGGTGCAGTTTTCCTTCCACCGAGGTGGGCGATTCATTTGCAGTACTTATTGACACAGGAAAAGTTCGTCTCTTTCTAAAATGGCTTATAGGATGCTGCAAGTTTTTCTACCCCAGCTGAAGGCAGGTATGAATTTGAATATGGTATGGGCTGTTCATGCTAAAGTTGGAGGGGCACGATGAAGGGTTTGCAGGCTGTTCATTGTTTAGAAACTGTTACAGTGCTTTGGGAATGTTTGGAAGTCTTCATGCTGTAATGTGCTCGGCTTACACTATTATAGCAGGATTAGTACTAGGAGGAAAGACATTGGTGTTAAAGGGAACCCTGCACAGGAGGAGCCCCCTAGATTGCTAGCTAGTTTTCTAGTCATCATGCTGATCCAAAGCAATGGCTTTAGTACCGTCTTAGCCATTGGCCTAGAAAGTTTATACAGATTAGGAGTTTTGACTTCCTGATCTGCATGCTTATTTTGGGTCAGTGTCTCAGAAAATGTCAGAGGGCCAGGTAACCAGCATTTTCAGGAGTTTAGCAATGGCAGACCTTTAAAAGGGGTAGCTTTATTTTAACTTCATTTGGAGTTTTTGATTTTGGAGATTTTAGTTTCTGTAACACTGTTGTGCATATATTTGATAAAGTCATTGTTCAGGATGTGCAAAATGCCATCACTTTTATCAACCAATCAGAACTCATGGCTAATTGGTTGATAAACGTGTAGCTAGTAAATGGAAACATGGATACGTACCATTGTACTTTGCACAGCCCTGTTGATCCTGCAGATTCTTAAAGAACAAGCATGTACTTATTTAGAGTTGCACATTGTAGAATAATTTGAAACATAATTTTTTAAATACCGTAAAAAGAAAATTTGCTCAGAGTAAAGATGAGCAAACAGTTTAAAAAGCAGGCATGTCAGCAAACTGCAGATTTTCTGATTCTCCTGAATATATGAATGATTTGTCCAGTTTGCAGACAGCCATACAATTCATTATTCATACGCCTTGGTTTCTCAATGGTGTGATTCTCCACGTCATTGAGATCCACACAGAAATATTTTAGGTGAATAAAAAATTTATACATCAGCAATTCCCCTTTTATTGGTCACCAGTAACAGAAAGAAATTAGACGTTCTCAGTTTTAATCTGCTCACTCTAAGCTACTAATTGATAAATAGTGGAGAACGGCATCACAATAATATTGTGTCCTTGCCCAACAATGATAAAGAAAAATCTGTAAAACAGGAATTCAGTTAGTTACGGAAGAGCAACTCAAATGTGAGTTTTTAAAAGGATCGCTAAGCAGTGGGATTATAAGTATATGAAACAATATATACAACTAGGGCTCATAGTTGTAAACTGGTACAAGTGAAGGGGTACAAATTTTCTTTTATATAGAAAATAATGGATTAACAGTGAAGGTGCTGGCTGGTGTACGTTGTATTAGAGGAATCAAAATATGTATGTAGGGTAACATTATGCTGATCCCGCCAATACAATGTAACATGTAGGTAAGGTGTATTTCTTATTCAGTAGCAGTCATCCATATTCTATGAACTGGCAGAATTCTGTGGTTTAAACACTTTTTAAATATTGACTGCTGTTTGTAGCTCCATTTCTTGGTCAAGTCCAAGTAATAAATAATTTGAAGAACAGAATGGTTTCTTTTAGAGACGTGCAGATGGTGTTGTGTCTAGCCGGTAGATTTATCTGCTTCAACCGCTTTTGGATTCCGCTGTTTTAGGTCTCCTAACTTAGTATTTAAGAGAAACACAGAAACTTCTTTAGATTTTGGAAGTATAGTATTTGTTTACATTTTGGCCACTGTGCTAAGGCTATGTTTGGGAAACTGCTAAGTTAATATGGTGTGCATTGTTAAACTTATTCGATCAGGCAGTGCTAATAGTAGTCAGAGTGTAGTAACCTATACCAACTGTTCAAAAGTAATTTCCTGAAGTAAACGTTTTAGTTTCAGGTACCTGAAAACATACCTTTTTAAATCTTTCAGGCCTTTGACCCAGGACATCTAATGGCAGCCTTCAGTTTTGAAGTACAAGGTGTTAATTGTCTTAGTTAAATTTTAAGCAACCTGCTCAGATGAAGGGGAGTAGCTCTCATGGTGACCCTCTAAATGGATCACATTAAGATACTGACCAGAGCATTTTATGCCATTCCTCTTGCTATAGCCCACCTTACCCATACCTATGCATAGAGACTGTTGTAATGTCTTATTGCTTCATTATTGCCTTCACAGGAAGTGAGTTGAATAAGATTGAATTCAGCTAGGGAGAGGACTGACACTGGATCAGAGACCGATGAGTTTTCAGGAGACAGCGCCAAACTGTAGGGGAATATTACAGCCAGAGCTGTTTTTTAATTTTTAAACACATTGAGCTACTGGTTTTATATATGTTTTTTTTTTATTGTAGAGTTGGTTTCTGAATAGAGATGCACTGATACCATTTTTTCAAGTACAAGTGCCAATACTTTTCCTCACGTACTGGATGATACCAATTACCGATACCTTTTTTGTGTGTCATGTGACACTTTTTCTAAAACAATAGACTAATGATTTTAGGAGTGTGGTAGAGCGCCAGGGCCTGCTCACAGCTGCAACCACTGTGACCCTGGTAGTTCTGCCGTGCGCTGTCTCACCAGGGCTGTGCGTAGTCTCACCAGGGCTGTGCGTAGTCTCACCAGGGCTGTGCGTAGTCTCACCAGGGCTGTGCGTAGTCTCACTATGGCTGTACGTAGTCTCACCAGGGCTGTGTGTGGTCTCATCAGGGCTGTGCATAGTCTCACCAGGGCTGTGTGCGGTCTCATCAGTGCTGTGTGCGTTCTCATCAGGGCTGTGTGCGGTCTCATCAGGGTTGCGTGCTGGTCTCACCAGGGCTCTGTGCGGGTCTCACCAGGCCTGTGCGGTGTCCCCATGGCTGCGTGCGGCTCTCACCATGGCTGTGCGGTCTTACCAAGGCTGTGTGGTCTCACCAGGGCTGCATGCAGTTCTCACCAGGGGTGTGTGCAGTCTCACCAAGGCTGCTTGTGGGTGGGTACTGCCTAACCAGGGCTGTGTGCGGTCTCACTAGGGCTGTACTGTCTCACTAGGGCTGCGTGTGGTCTCACCAGGGCTGGGGGCAGTCTTACCATGGCTGTGCGGTCTCACCAGGGCAGCATGCTGGTCTTACCAGGGTTGTGTGCTCTCCCCATGGGTGTGTGTGGGTACAGTCTGGCCAGGGCTGTGTGGTCTCACCAGGGCTGGGTGCAGTACTACCATGGCTGTGTGGCCTTACCATGGCTGTGCGCTCTCCCCAGGGGTGTGTGTGGGTCCCACATGGCTGTGCAGACTCATCGGGTCTGTATGCGGTCTCACCAGGGCTGTGCCGTGTCTCTCAAAGGCTGTTCGGGCAGGTGCGGATGGGGGGTCTCACCATGGCTGTGCGGGTGGGTCTTACCATGGCTGTGCGGGTGGTGGGTCTCACCCGACTGAGCGGGCAGTGGGTCTCACCATTGCTGTGTGGGAGGCGGGAAGGAGGAGATGTTTGGCCGGACCAGCGCTGTAAACGGGCGCAGTGAAGGTTCCCACAAGGCTGTGAGGTCCCCAGCAAGTGTGGGACCTAACGGTATCGGCACTTTGTATCAGACTTTGTATCAGGGCATTTTCACGAGCACCTATACTGAACTAAAGACATTGAAAGGCAGCAAATCTGCTTCTGGCAACTAGTCAGATGTTTCTGATTTGTAACGTCCTCCAGAAACACAATTGTTGCTATAGGCAGTCATTTTGTTTTGCAAATTGAATTATTCCTGTAATTTCTGCATGAAGGTACATCTGTTTTTTTCTCCACTGACTAAAGTATTTCCACGGATTGGGTAGTAGAGTCTAGTTCCGTGTTCGCCACCGATTAATGTATTAAGGTTGGAGTTTAGGTGATACCCTTTGTTGGCTAACTTAAAGTATATCCAATGGCAGCATTTTCATGATTCACCCTCACTGTTTGTCCTGGTGACCATTAACGCTGAAACTGAACGCGAGGGTAACATTTTGAGCTGCCACTAGAATAGGAATAGAAGGGAAATTTTCTCGTGCTGATAATTGTTCCTTTGACAATTGTCTAAGAAGACATTTACCTAACTTTGGAGAGATTGCCACTCACTTCCTGTTGCCTACAGGACAAGCAGTAAAGGGGTAACTATTGAAAGGGAAACAATAAGAAAAGAGGAAAATAAAAGACGAGTTTTCATGGAAAAAACATTTTGCATTTTGATGTACTTTATGTTAGCCAATAAAGGGTATTACCTTAACTCCTAACTTTCTCATCCATACATTAAGCAAGGCCTGGACAAATTCCAGGAGCCAGGTAGCCAATGCTCCTTATAAATTACAGCTGGTGCCTAACTTTTGAGGTTTTTTTCTTGTTGCAAGTGGAGCAGCTATAAAATCCTTCTGGCTCCTGGATTGGAAGGACTGGCTCCTAAATTCCATATTAATTTGTTCACTCCTGGATTAAGCAAAGGTATTTATTTTGTCTAAAAATATTGTTTTGTAAGCATGCTCTCCTTTAGAAAGCAGCAACCCCACAGAGCATACAGAGAGCAACATACGATGCAACTGGGAATTATTTACCATGAATTGAATAGTGGGTATGCATGTTTTCTGAGATTGTGCTGTGGGCTCACTGTTGGCTAATGAATGATCAGATCCTTAAATATGTTTAGTTGTCATAGGAAAGTATGTGTTTCTGTGTATCTGGTGTTGTTCCCGAGTTTTGTAGTAACTTCCCCCACTGGTAGACTGGTGTTCTGAAGTGGTCTCTTTCTTGCAGATGACGGAAAGTTGTCCCTGGAGGAATTTCAGGCCTTTTTCTCAGATGGAACCCTCAACGAGGAGGAGCTGGAGAAGCTGTTTCACACCATCGATTCGGACAACACCAAGTAAGCCAGTGATGCATGTCTCTCCCTGTTCAGTAGAGCATGTCTGTGTGCATTTTGCTCTCCTGCTGTTGATGCCTATTGCCTACTGCTGTGTTAGAAAGCGACATTATGTTCTCTTTCTCTCTGCCCAATTGTTTCTTTCCATCTTTCTAATATTTTTAGTGTATCAATTTACATTTTAAATCATAATTATTTTAGAAACACTATACCTCCTGTGGAGAAATGTTTGAAGAGACTGGAACGATTTTGGGTCAATTTTATTTTATTATTTTTATATTAATGATATATACATTTGAAAATCTGAACAGGCAAGGAGGGGGGAGGGGAGGATATGGCTGATGAGACTATAGTCTGGGCTTGGGAGTAGGGAGGAAGTGTGCTGTGTCTGTGCCCACCCTCACCATTACATCCTCATTACAAAAGTATGAACCAAAGGATTAAAGTGAAAGTTCATTCTAGCATTACTCAGTGAACAATAAACATCCATATAATACATGTACCTTGATAAATGCATAGCATTGGAAATGAATTCTGTCTGTGCTTTGGTTGTCCAGCAATTAGCATTGCTGCTTGATTGCCCTCTTCTCCCCGATGCTGCCAAAGACGTGGATAGCATGAGGGAGCTGAGTGACAGCAGGAGTTACCGTGTCTCTGGTAATAGCCGGCAGCTTCCAGTGCTGATTGCTGGAAAACCAGAGCGCAGACAAAATTCAAACATGGCGCTATGGATTTTTCAAGGTACATGATGAACTTCCACTTTAAGGAAAACGTCTGTTATTTCCTGGGATTAGACTGTGCACGTTGTTTTACATTTGCATATCTGTTTTGTTTCCGGAATTGGTCTGTTTTCAAGACTGTTGGCCAGTTTAGATCCAGATCTTAGATATTTTGCTTAGAGTGAACTTTTCATTAAATCATATTAATCTTTTCAAAGTCTGGATTTTGGAGCATTGTTGCCATTATGGATACTTGACTGTGCGCTGTCTTACAATGTCCAGTTTACAAATCAGCAATTGGTCATAGTAGATCAACCGCTGAGTAGAAGTGTACCTGTTAATTCTGCTACTTCATCCCATGCAGATTGCAGATGTCCCCAACCCTAAACCTCTAAAGGGCAAAAATTGAAACCACTGTTAGCATTTGACTCTGTTTATTTTATCTCTGAGGCTTTAGGTCATTATATTAATTGCTTTCCATTTTTTCTCTATGGCATTCTCCCCCACCCTGTTTTCTCCTGTAATGAGATTAAGTCCATTGTGTCAGATGCTTTGTATTGGATCAATGCAGTAATTAAACGTGTCACTTTGAAATCGGTTACCCATTTTGAAAACTGACTTCTCTTATGCTTATGGATTATGAAAAGTGTTTCAGACCCCAGGATGACAGTTAAAAGATAATTTGTACTTTGCCCACAATAGCAAATAAATGGGTTAATTTAAAAGGACAACTTCTACTTTTTTATGAAGATGTCTTTCAATTAATCCCTCCACCCCTGTGAATGCAGCCCAACATTTGGTTTTAGCGGCTAGTTCACACTATAACTGCGTGCGTCTATGCAGCTGCAGTGCAGTGCATTTTGTCAGTACGTTTGCATATGGTTTTGATGCGTTCCGTTGCGATCAGGGGCAGCTAAAATTAGACAAGCAGTATTTTTTCCGACTGCATTGGAACAGAGCACCAGAAATCCCAATGGAAAGCATTGTGACCCGATTGTGATGCAGTGCCAAACTAAACGGACTGCATCACAACTGCATCTGGTGTGAACAAGCCCTTATTGGAAAAAAAAAACCTTGCCTAGGCGATCCTATCATTGTGGGTTGTGGGAAGTGGAGAGTTTAGGGTGACACTATCAGGGTTATTTACAAAAGGGTGAAGCGTTTGAAGATGTAGGAAAAGTGAACTATCTAGGACAACATAGCTGAACTGGAAAGTGAGATGAATATGATTTTTCCAGTTCCGCTATGTTGTCCTAGATCAGGGGTGCCCACAAGGTCGATCGCGATCTACCAGTCGATCGCGTTGCGATCACTGGTAGATCGCACTGTCCTCTCCCGCCGCTTCTCTGGATCCCCGCTGCTCTCCCCAGCGGGGATCCGAGAAGAAGTGAAGGAACCGGCGGCGGGGGAGGGCGGAGGACGGAGCCGCTGTCACAGAACTAATGAATGCGGTGAGGAGAGAGAGAGAGAGAGACGCTCGGCCAGGATCTGACAGCCGGCGCCTCTATCTCCCCTCACTGCTCGTCCGTTCTGTCACAGCGGCATTTCTTCGATGTGTGGTAGGGCCACACGTCAAACATCACTGGATCAGGGAGGAGGGTAAGTTTTTACCAGAGGGCTGCACTCATGGGTCCCTTTTGCATTATTTGCCCTCTATTTTTATTCTTCTAACAATTCTAAATCACCTTTAGTCCCTAGGAAAGTGATCATCAGGATAGATAGAGAAAATTAATCTCCCTAGCAGAGTCACAGCAATAAAAATTTGACAGATGTTCTAAACCTTCATGGATCTTTCTATCCAAAATCTAAAAAAAGTTTGACTTTAGATACACTTTAGGGTTAAAGTATAACTTTTTTTTAAAGATTGGGAGTGGGGAGGGGTAGGCGTTAGAACCCATTTCAGGTTTTTTATCGCTGTCTGCAACCAGTTAGGGAGATCCCCCTCTCTCTGATTGTCCTGATCACCAGTTACACCAGAAATGATAGTAAGAGTACAACCCGATTGCTTGTCATTCTTTATAGATACATTGTTATCCAGATTTGTTATACATTACATATTGGTATTGTTAAGGCATGCAGATATTTTTCCTATATATTTATCATTTTTTGAATAATAATTGGTTCTGCACTGTGGCCCCCTCCAACCATTGGAATGTTGTTGCCATAGCAACCAAGAGGCCAGCCAGCAAACCTCCTGTAGCTCAGAGTTATTTCCAGAGTTATTTCCATGCACTTGCAGGCTTCTTCTATAAATAGTGCAAGTGGTCACAGAGATGAGCAGAGTGCAGTTATCCATAGCAGCCAGTCAGGAGGCGCATGGACAGGAAATGGGAACTGGGAGGACATTTTAATTGCAGGGGCATTTTGTCACAGAGAGATCATTATATGCTTTATTACATGTGATATGTGACATGTGATGGGGATGATGAGCATTACACTGTCCATTTATACATGCCCTTTATAGGATCCAAAGGGTGGAGCTGGAGGAGATAACTATGCAGGTATTTCATGTTAATATATGTTTTAAAGTGTGACCAAAAAGCTGGTCAGTGAGAATTTATAGCACAACAGATGTGATAGAACAGATTTTGTACTTTGCAGAAATTGGAGTTTGAGAAATTCGGGTGCTAGGCCCACCATTGTCACCCCCCTTTACTTTTTTTTTTACAACATGATTATGCTACAGCAACAATCGGCTCTTATGCAAGAGGTCACCTCCGTTTCCTGGCATATAGGCACACTGAAAACGGTAAAGGAGAAGAGCGGTGCTAAAGACATGATCGCAGCATAAAAAAACAGAAATGTGCAAAATGTAAATAAATCTCTTCCCCTGGGAGCTGGGCTGGTAAAATCAATCAACAAATTAACAATTGTGATTAGGTGATATGGGTAACAACTCCTCTTTTGGCCCAACCATATAACCTAACATCACACCAGTGCTATGAACATACCAAGGTACAAAAGGAGTTCAGAATTCCTAAACCTTTGGACCTATACAAAAGGCAGCTACAGTGCGACCCAATACAACGAACACAATTATCTGGACCATATATTACAAAAATAATTTTGGCAATTAACTCCAGTTTTTGACAAGCCTGTGTCATCTCTATAAATCAGCAGCTTTCATGATAAGAATACCTGGTGATCTTGGTGAAGTGCTCTGCTGTTGTTCCTGATTTCCATGTATGACCCTGGCTCTGGCTGACTGATCGCCTCTCTCGGCGTTCCTTGAACTGGGTCGGCTGGCTATCCGCTTTGGCTTATGACCTCTAGCTTGGCACTGATGACATCCTGCACTTTCTCCATTGTTTTTTGCAGTTATGTTTATTTTTGTTTTCAATAAACTTTTTTTTTTTTAAACCTGCACTTTAAGGTTCCCTAACAGGCAGGGCTGGAGAAATCCCAGGAGCCAAGTAGCCAATGCTCCTTAAAAATTACAGCTGGCACTCAACTTTGGAGGTTTTCTCTACTTGTTATTAATGGAGCTGCCTTGTCCTTGAAAAAAATCTGGCTGGTTCCTGGATTGGACAGACTGGCTCATGAATTTCATATTAATTTGTCCACCCCTGCATTAGGATTCTTGTTCAGGCATGTCCTGTTATAGGATGACTAATGTTTTTCAGATGTGTTCCTGTATTGTCATAGTCATCCCTGGTGAGGACAACACGCGGCTGTGCATAGTCCACAATTAACGATCAGAAAGCTGGTTCATTGCGATGTTCAGCCACCACTGGAATGAGTGCATGTAGACAGGAAATGGCTGAAAAGTTTTGGTGGAGATCACCAGCTCTGAGATTCAAAAAAGGATGAGAAAAGGTGGAAAACGTATTTTATGAATAAATTGTATGATGCACAGTGCTTTAGCAGACTAAATGCCACCCAGATAGGGTTTAGATCTACTTTAATACTACACCATAAGGAGTTGATTTTGGGTGGGAAGGATGAATATAAATGTGCTGTATATTGTAATGCTGTGCTCTTAGAGGATTAGTTTCCTCTGTGTTACTGACAGATGCCACACTAAATGAATGAACAGTCAGTCAGCCATTTTGCTTATACTGCAATTGTTTATGAAAAGGCAAAAACATATATAATAATTATCCAGCCACAGAAGATATGGTTTAAATGGACATCCTTGTATCACCTGTGACATGGCCTTTATTTTCTGTATCAAAGTTAAAAGAAAATCTTTGTTTTCTCTTTTCATAGATCGCATATGTCAGTGTGTAGCAGCTGCTGCATTTGGGGTAAAAATAGGATTGCAGATGAAGTACGAGAGAAAGT